GGTGGAATGCTTGTCTCGTTGCCAGGGCAACGAGACAAGCATTCCACCATGCCACTCATGCTGCCTGCTCTCAGTGGACGCCTCCCTGAGACTGGGGGATTCTGGCGGGGCTGAGAGGACTGGGCACCCCAATCTTTGTGATGGAGTGACAGTTAATTTTCATATTACCCCATTATTAGATAGGATATCATTATTAGATAGGATATCCTATCTAATCAAGAGGGAATATGCTAATTGACCCTCACACCAATGCAAAGATGGTGGCACCCATAGCCAATACGGAGGGAATATGCTAATTTACTCCTCTGCCTTCAAAGATGGCAGTGCCCACAGCCACTGGGTGGCACCCAGTCCTCACACACCCTTAGCCACCCAGGGCTGGCCCGAGGGACAACCAAACAGCTGAACAGCAGGGTATGTTGGGCGACCAGGCTGGCAGGGGGGTTAGTGAGGGATGACCAAACGACTGAACAGCAGGCTGCGTGGGGTGACCATGCCTGCAGGAGGGCTGTGAGGGGCGACCAGGCTGGCGGGGCGGGGAAGGGCCAATTGGGGGCCACCAGGCCAGCAGCGACGTTAGTGAAGGATGACCTAATGACTGAACAGCAGGCTTCATGGGGTGATCAGGCTGGCAGGGGCCAGGCATGAGGGGTGACCGGGCTGGCAGGGGGGGAAGTTGGGGGTAGCCAGGCCTGCAGGGGAGGTGCAGCTTTGGCAACCAGGCTGGCAGGGTGACAGTGTGGAGTGACTATGCCGCAGGGGGGTCAGTTGGGAGCGACCAGGCTGGTAGGAGGGGGGCAGTTAGGAGTGACCAGGCCAGCAGAGGGGGATATTTGGGGGTGACCAGGCTGGCAGTAGGATGCAGCTATGAGTGACCAAGCTAGCAGTTAGGGGGCAATTGAGGGTGAACAGATAAGCAGTGGGCAAAAGTTAGGGGCAACCAGGCCAACATGGGGGGGGAGGCAGTTAGGGGTGACCAGGCAGGTAGGCAGGTGAGCGATTAGGAGCCAGTGGTCTAGTATTGTAAGAGAGATCCTGGATTGGAGAGGGTGCAGGCTGGGCTGATGGGACTCCCCTGTGCATGAATTTTGTGCACTGATCTTCTAGCCCTATATAATATAAGAGTGATATGCAAATTGACCATCACTCCAACATACAAGATGGCCGCCCTGATGTGGTCAAAGATGACTAGCAGGGTAGGGCAGTTGGGGGGAACCAGGCCTGCAGGGGAAGGCAGTAGGGGGCAATAAGGCTGGCAGGGGAGCAATTAGGCGTCGATCAGTCTGGCTGGGGAGTGGTTAGGGGCAATCAGGCAAGCAGGCAGGAGAGCAGTTGGGGACCAGCAGTCCTGGATTGTGAGAGGGATGTCTGACTGCCCGTTAAGAGCCGATCCCACCAGAATTAAAGAGGGTGCAGGCTGGGATGAGGGACTAACTTTTTGACTAGAGGGCCACAATGGGTTCTTAAACTGGACCGGAGGGCCGGAACAAAAGCATGGATGTAGTGTTTGTGTGAACTAATATAAATTCAAAGTAAACATCATTACATAAAAGGGTACGGTCTTTTTTTTTTTTTTGTTTTATTCCTTTAAAATGAGAGTTAAATTAGGGTTTTTCAAAAAGCTGACACACTGAGCTCAAAAGTTTCGACATCATTGATCTGTATCTATATGTATATCTATAGTAATAGATAGGTGTATATAAAGATGTAGCTAGATAGCATCTTGTTCCAGCAGCATTTGTTGAAAAAAATTTTTTTCTACTGCAATGCCTTTCTGTATCTATTAAAAATCAGTTGAACACATGTGGTTAACCATGTGTAGATTTAATTTTGAACTCCTTATTCTATTCTATAGATCTATATGTCTAACTTTATGTCAATATCACAATGTTGTGATTATTCTAGCTATACTAATTCTTGAAAACTATAGTGTCAGCACTAACAGGTTTTGCTCAGTGGATAGAGCGTAGGCCTGTGGACTGAAGGGTCCCGGGTTTGATTCCAGTCAAGGGCATGTACCTTGGTTGGGGGCACATAACCAATACTGAGTGTGCAGGAGGCAGCTAGTCGATGTTTATCTCTCATCGATGTTTCTAACTCTTTATCCTCTCCCTTCCTCTCTCTAAAAAATCAATAAAATATATTTAAAAACAAACGAACAACCAAAAATAACAATAGTGTCAGTCCTCCAAATTTGTTCTTTTTCTTACTTGTTTTGGCTAGTTTAAGTCCTTTGCATTCCCATATCAATTTTAAGATCAATGTTTCTCAACATTTACAATAAAGGCCTGCCAGGATATTTATAATTGTGTTGAATATATATATCAATTTAGTGAAAAATTACATTTTATCAATATTTAGTCATTTATCCTATTAAAAAGGTACATCTATTTATTTTTATATGTTAATTTATTTCATGAAGATTTTATAACTTTCAATGTACTGGTCCTTCATACCTTCTGTCAGAATTATCCCTAGATAATAGATATGTAATGCAATATTTGTACCATCTTTATTTGTAAAAATAACCATCTGAATGCATTTCCATAGTGTATTACAGTTAAGTGCTCATTACATTATTAGCATTCAGTAGGTGAAAAAGTATAAAACTGTGCTTGAGAGGATTCAGATTGGTTCAAAGTCATTCACTGAACTCAGTCATTTTCCTCATTTTTACAGTCATAGCATTTATCAGTGTCATTCAACCCTAATTTACATAAGAAAACATCAAAGACAAAATCCGACTGAAATCATCGAATAATAGTTTATGCTGTTACAAATATATTATGCAAAATAGAACACTGGCACCACATTTGTATCATCCTGCTTCACAAAGACATATTGCATATAATAATTTATATTGTTAAGCTATTATGAATGATAATGCCATTTTATTTCAGCTTCTAATTGTTCATTGCCAGAATATGGGTATGCAATTGAGTTTTGTTACTTGATATTGTATCCTGAAAAATGTCTAAACTCGCTTATTAGTTCTAGAAGAGTTTTCATAGACTCCCTTAGATTTTCTACATAGATCGACAGACCTGCAGTCAGCAAAGTATGGCCCATAGCTAAGAATTAATTTTTTTATATTTAAGGGGTTATTTAAAATACAAAAAAACAAAGATGGATATGTAACAGAATGCATGAGTTCTGCAAACCTAACATTTTTGCTATCTGTACTTTACAGAAAAATGTTTTGCTGTTAGCCTTAACATTACATGCAGGTTTTTCACAGATGCCCTTTATTGGGTTTAAGATGTTGCCTTCTGTTTCTAGCAGGCAGAGAAAGTTCACTATGAATGAATGTTTGTCTTTTACTCCATCCAGTGAGATGATCAGATGATCTTTATTTTTAGGTTGATTGATATGGCTAATTACATGAATTGACTTTAGAGTGTTAAACCAGGCCTATATTCCTTGAATAAACTCCATTTGGACAGGATGCATTATGGTTTTACTATATTACTGTATTCAATTGCTAAATTTTGTTTCAAAATTTTCTACTTATATTCATAAGAGGTACTGCTCTGTAGTTATCTTTTCATTGTATTTCTCCTGCGTAATTTGTGTCTTCTGAGGAATTTGTTCACTTCATCCAAGTTGTCTCTTGAATACTTACCCCCATTATTATTTTTAATGGTTTTCTTTATCCCTGGCAACATTTTTTGCTCTGAAATTAATATTACCTGATATTAATATACACAATGCAGCTTTATTTTGCCTAATGTTAGTATAGTAAAGCTTTTCCCATCCTTTTGCTTTTCATGTTTTTATATTCAAAGTGCTAGAGGCCCAGTGCACAAATTTGTGCATGGGTGGGGTCCAGCTAGCCCACCCCTATCTGGTTGATTGGAGCAGGCTGGCCTGGGAAAGGGGCCCCATGTGATTGGCAGGCTGGCCCCGCCCCCCCTTTGGGGTGGTAGGGCCCATTGAGGTGAGGTAGGCCCAGGGGAGGGGTTGCAGGTGGTTTTCTGGCCTGTCCTGCCACCTATTGGGGTATGGGGGCCAATCAGGGTGGGGTAACCAGAGGGAGGCACCACAGGCAGTTGTGGGGTTGGCCCTGCCTTCTGTTCAAACTCCCAGTCAAGGAGACAATTTGAATATTAGCAGATATAAGATGCTTCTTGTAGGAAGCATATGATTGTTTCTTGATTTTTTTATCTAATCTCACAATCTCTGCCTATTCTTTTGGATGTTTGTAGCATTTATATTTGATGTGATTATTAACATAGTTAAGATTGATGCTATCATTTTCTTATTCTTTGTTGCATCTGTCTTTTTTTTTTTAAGTTATGCATGTGTCATACTCATTTCTGTTGCTAACTGAGGAGTAGAAAAAATACAGGAGGAGATATACACACCTGTACTCTCCTTAGCAGTTTTGACATATCTCAGCTTCTTTTTACGAATCCTGTATGCTTGGATTTTGATCTTTTGTATATTTTATTTTAATACTTTTGTTTGTTAAATGGTTGGGCTGTGGGTGGATTTTATCTTCTTTCTTGTACAGATCAATGGGATTAGAGTTCCAGAATTTTATTTTTGTAGCCTTATTTTTGTAACATTAGACTTATGTTATATTTCCACTTAGATGCACCATAGTAAAAAAGGCAATAAAACATGGTATTTTTACAAAAAATGTGCTTTTCACTATCATTCAGAATCACTTGCTCATTCCAGTTATGTTATGCTATATTAGGAAAGCATCTACCAGTCTATTTTGTGTTCTAGAACTTAGCGTGGCGATGCATTTTACGTTATCTGTTGTTCTATTTAACAAAGAATGTCCATCATTTTTACTCTAAACTGTAAATATCTCATGGTAGGTATAATTCTGTACTTAAGGTAATAATCTCTCACCGCTTTCTATTTTCATTTGTTTCTTTTATTATCATTATACTGGGGAACTTCATTTATTAAATATACTTCATTTATTAAATATATAAATAAATATAACATTTATTTCAATATAAAATATTTTTTAAAAGCAAAATAACTTACGCAGGTCCATAGTTACATACAAACATTACACGGTCACCTTTCCCAAGATTAGGACAAGCTGTCATTGCACAACCAACTTTGTATGAATTGGCCCAAGCTACCTATAAGGAAATGAATTCTTAATTAAAATATGCAAAACAACTCTATGCCACAATGCACTATGGGAATAGCTATAAATCTTAGTCATGCAATAAAAATGAGTAGACAGAAATTTTTATTGGCTACTTTAATTTGTAATATTTAGTTTAAAACAATTTTTAAAAGGCTGCTTTCTTGAAGTCTACCTAACTAGATTTTCCTCACTGATAATTCTCATAAGTCAAACAATATAATATGTAGTCAAAATAGTATTTTTTCTACATGATTTATGAAAAAATTATTTTCTCCATGGTTATATAATACAATTAATATTAAAATCACAGTGTAAATAAAGACAGTTATAGACTTTTATTTCTTTTTCTCTAAAACCTTCTACCAGTGCTTAGTTTATGATCACATTTTAAAAGTTGTGGCCGTAACCATAATCTCATCTCTGTCAAATTACTAGACTCAGATAGATACAGAGACTAAAAATATATTGAGTTTATTGCAAAAAACAAAAACATGATTTTCATAAGGAGGGTGAATATTTTTGTTTCATTGTAAAGAATAGCAGTATTCAAAAGAAGAAGATTCCTATGGAAAACTAACCATGGGTTGGGAGGACGGGAGAAACAAAAAGATTAAAAAAATTAGTATTCTTTTGTGACAATGATAGAGTAGAATTTTCTTCCATTACCTAAATAAACAAAGAGGAAAATGCTAATTTACTCCATATGGAAAACAAAATAACAAAGGAAAATGGATATAGGTTTTTATAACACTAATAAATTTTCTGAACCCATTTATTTTACAATTCAATTAATATAATCTGTTGATACATTTTATAAACTGATGTGTTAGTCACTATTTCCCATGACCTGGGTATAGCTGTAATCAACAGTTTTCAGAAGTATGTTTTAATGGCTGTTTGTCTGAGAGGCAGCAAAGTGCAATAAAAGCACTGTGAATAGAAAATATATGACTTTTGGTTCTAACCATGTGTGTGTCTTTGGAGAGTAATAGATTAATTCTGACCTAGTTTACCACTTAGTAAAATGCGATTAAGCTAGTTCCTTAAAATACCCATTCTTTTGGAATGTTTTAGGAAGTTAATAAACTATACGACTACATGTATATATATTTTTAAAGAAATTCATGTTTAAAAATTTGGTTAATAAATAACTGACCACACTATGAAATTTTATTTTCTTAATATATCTGAATTGTGACATTTTTGACTTTTTGAATGGTAAGGATAAATATTGAACATATATAGGTTTAAAATGTTTACTTTCTTAAAGGAACTAAACGTAACATTAATATGGACATTGGTTGTAACTTCAGTACAAATATTTTCAGATGGTAACAGTAAGAACATTTTTACGTCATTTTCTTTAGAACACTAAGCAAGATACAGTTGTTGAGCCAATATGAAGAAAGCACCCATTCCTAGCTTTTTACACATCTGTGTACATTATCCAATCAGAGTGAGCTCATGCTTCTGCTGTATAACGCTAAGGGACAAGGGGTATTTGAAAACATATTCCTTTCCCCTGACAGTAAAAGAGGAGACAAATGATTATGTAAAGGCTGTGACTCAGTCTTGATGCTATATTAGGAATATTGCATTATGCTTGTTATCAGGACACCTGACAATTGATCCCATTCTCTCAATTTTCCTAGCAGTAGCCAAACCATAATCATTGTATAAAACAATTATTCTGAAAGGGATTTCTAAACTTACAGCATCCTGTTGTCAGACGAAGTTTAAATGGAATAGGAGCTGCTAATTTCTGTGTTCAGTGAACCTCCTAAAAAAATGGCATGCTTTCAGACACTGTATGTTAATTCAACTTAGACAGATAAGTTTAGAGAAGAGATCTCTTCTCTTGCTTAAATGGTCCATCCTAGGGACTCCATGTCATGCCTAAAATGTGATTTCCATTTCTCACCCAAACCCTCTCAACAACCAACCAAAAGAATTAGAAAAATTATCTATACTAACAAAAGCATAACATGATAATTAGATCAGACATCTTCAGGATGTCCTTCTGGACCAGTGGTTCTTAACCTGTGGGTTGTAACCCCTTTGGTGGTCGAATGACCCTTTCACAGGGGTTGCCTAAGACCATCCTGCATATCAGATATTTACATTATGATTCATAACAGTAGCAACATTACCATTATGAAGTAGCAACAAAAATAATTTTATGGTTGGGTCACAACATGAGAAACTGTATTTAAAGGGCCAGAAGGTTGCGAACCACTGAGCTAGACAAAGCCACGGTGGCAGGTGCCAAGGCAGAGGATGTTAAGGACAATCAAGCTGGCAGGGGAGAGCAGTTAGGGGTAATCATTCCATGGAGGGCAGTGAAGTTTGGGGCTACCAGGCTTGTAGGAGAAGGAAGTTAAGGGTGATCTGGTCAGCAGGGGAGCAGTGAAGGGGTGAACAGGCCTGCAGGGGAGCAGTATTAGTTGATGAGACCAGGAGGGGGGAGCAGTTATGGGTGATCAGGCTGGCAGTGAAGCAGTTAGGGGGTGATCAGGCTGGCAGGGGAGAGTTTAGGAATGATCAGGCTGGCAGGCAGAGGCAGTTAGGGGCGATCAAGCAGACAGGGAGGCAGTTTGGGGCATCAGGCTGCAGGCAGATGAGTGGTTAGGAGACAGCGGTCCCAGATTGTGAGAGAGATGTACCTAAACTAGCACTTGGACATCCCCCGAGGGGTCCCAGATTGGAGAGGATGCAGGACAGGCTGAGGTACACCCTCCCCACCTCCACTGTCCAGGCAGTAGATATTCTGAATACCCTCATCATGGATACCTGCCCACAGACACTTCGATAGCTTGGCTTCAGCCAGGGCCCTTCAGAGTGCATCAGTGTGCAGCACTGGCAAACACATTGTGGATAACCCCTATGAGCCGCCACTGGGTGCATGTGTATCCAAGCGAGAAGGCAGCAGCAAAAACTATTCTTCCCACCCTATAGCTACAGAACTGTGGACACCCCAGATGCGCCTTTCCAGAGTGAAGGCCTCCTGAGCCTCACCACCCTGACAGATGTCTCCTGGGCACCTCTGTATGCCCCTGCTGGGAAAACATGATTCCAATCAAGGATGCAAGGCAGCAATAATTGGGACATCCTCCTCCCTGGCTGCTGACATCTGGACTCCGCAGTTGCACCTTTTCAGCTCGCAGGCCTACATCAGGATACCCAAATAGCTCAAGCAGGGGGTTCAGCTAGACTACCAAGCCCAGGAGACCCAAGAGATCACACCAGTAGCACCATCCCCAAAAGAACCTGGGTGGCAACACAGTCAGATGTTGGACACAGAAACAATTACAACTGTAGACCAAAACTTGGGAAGACAAAAAAGCAATCCCCAAATTAAAGGAAAAATCACCAGAAAGGAAATTAAAAGAAATGGAGGTAAGTAACATTTCAGAGAAAGATTTCAGAGTAATGGTTCTCAGGATGCTCAAACATCTGGATAACAAATACACACAACTCAATGAGAGTTATAGTGAGCTAAATGAGAATGTCACCAACATGAAAAGGAAACAAGAGTAAACGAAGAACGACATAGCTGCAATAAAGTACACAATGGAAGGCTTAAACAGTAGACTACAAGAGGCTAAGGACTGCATTAACGAATTAAAAGACAAGGTAGGAAAAAGCACACAAATACAGCAGCAACTAGAAAGAAGACTTAAAAAGCAAGAGGAGAGCCTAAGGGAGCTTTGGGACAGCACAAAACGAAACAACATCTGAATAATAGGTGTACCAGAAGGAGAGGAAGAGAAGTAAGGAATAGAAAACCTGTTTGAAGAAATAATGACAGAAAACTTCCCTGATATTGGCAAGAAAAAAACTATACAATGAACCCAAAAAGACCAACACCAAGACACATCATAATTAAACTGGCTAACATCAACGACAAAGTAAAAATCTTAAAAGCTGCCAGAGAGAGACAGAAAGTTACATACAAGGGATCTCCCATTAGAATATCGACTGATTTCTCAACAGAAAGACATGAGGCCAGGAAGGAATGGAATAAAATATACAAAGTGATGCAAACCAAGGGGCTAAATCCCAGAATACTATACCCAGCAAAGCTGTCATTCAAAATTGAAGGTGGAATGAGAAGGGGCTAAGAGAGTTTATTACCACCAAGCCAGCAATGCAAGAAATGCTAAAGGGACTGCTGTAAAAAGAAGAAACACAAATATTAAGAATAAAAAGGATGACAAACAATTAATAATAATAATAACATTAAACGTAAATGGATGGATTAAATTGCCCAATCAAAACACATAGGGCAATTGAATGGATAAGAAAACATGACCCATATATTTGCTGTCTGTAGGAGACTCACCTCAGAACAAAGGATTCACAAAGACTTATAGTGAAGGGATGAAAAAAAAATTTTCAGGCAAATGGAAATGAGAAAAAATCTGGGGTTGTGATCCTAATATCTGACAAAATAGATCTCCAAGTAAAGGGAGAAATTCAGCAAGAAGATATAACTCATAAACATATATGCACCCAACACTGGAACATCCAAATACATAAAACAACTTCTGGAAGATATCAAGGAGAAATTGATAGCAATACAGTCATAGTAGGGGACTTTAATACCCCACTGACACCAGTCGATAAATCCTCTAAAGAAAAAATCATCAAGGAAACAGCAATCCTAAGTGACTCACTAGATCAGATGGACTTAATTGACATCTTCAGAATATTTCACCCCAAAGCCACAGAATATACATTCTTCTCCAGTGCATACGGGACATTTTCAAAGATAGACCACACATGAGGGCACAGGCAAAGTCTCTTCAAATTCAAGAGGATAGAAATCATAACAAGTATCTTATCAGATCACAGTGGCATAAAACTAGAAATCAACTACAATAAAAACAATGAAAAAAATCAAATACTTAGAAGCTAAATAGCATGCTATTAAACAATGATTGGGTTACCAAAGAGATCAAAGAAGAAATAAAAGGTATCCTGGAAACAAGTGACAATGAAAACACAACAATCCAAAATCTATGGGACACAATGAAAGCAGTCCTGAGAGGGAAGTTCATAGTTCTACAAACCTACCTCAAAAAAAAAAGGTAATAAATTATCTAACCCTGCCACTTAAAGAATCAGAGAGAGAGCAACAAGAAAAGCCTACAGTATCTAGGAGGAAGGAAATATTAAAGATCAGAGCAGAAATAAATGACATAGAGATCAAAATAACAATACAAAAGATCAATGAAACCAAGAGCTGATTCTTTGAAGGGATAAACAAGATTGATGATCCTCTGGCCAGGCTCACCAAGAAACAAAGAGAGAGGACCCAAATAAACAAAATCAGAAATGAAAGAGGTGAAGTAACAACTGACCCCTCTGATATACAAAGGATTATAAAAAAAAATACTACCAACACCTCTACTCCAAAAAACTGGACAACCTCAATGAAATGGACACATTCCTAGAAAAATACAAGCTTCCAAAACTGAATCAGGAAGAATAAAAAACCTAAATAGGCTGATAACAACTGATAAAATTTAAACAGTAATCAAAATGCTTCCAGCAAACAAAAGCCTAGAACCAGATGGCTTCACAGGGGAGTTTTAACAAGCATTCAAAGAAGAACTAAAACCAATACTCCTCACACTATCCCAAAAAATTCAAGAAGCAGGCACACTTCCAAGCTCTTTCTATGAAGCTAGCACTACCCTAATCCAAAAACCAGATAAAGACACCACAAAGAAAGAGAATTACAGGCCAGTATCCCTGATGAACATTGATGCTTGTAATACATCATATAAACAAATTGAGAGACAAAAATCAAATAATCATATCAATTGATGCAGAAAAGGCACTTGACAAAGTCCAACACCATTTTCTGATAAAAGCACTCAGCAAAGTTAGAATAGAGGGATCATACCTCAACATAATAAAAGCCTTATATGACACACCTACAGCACATAATACTCAATGGGCAAAAACTAAAACCATTTCCCTTAAGAACAGGAACAAGACAGGGATGCCCGCTTTCACCACTCTTATTCAACATAGCACTGGAATTGCTAGCCAATGCTATCAGACAAGAAGAAGAAAAAAAGGCATCCAAATTGGAAAAGAAGTAAAATTGTCATTATTCACAGATGACATGATACTGTAATAGAAAACCCCAAAGACTCCATCAAAAATTACTAGAGTTAATAAATGAATTTGGCAATGTAGCAGGAGACAAAATTAATGCCAAGAAAGCAAGGGTATTTTTATACACCAACAGTGAACTTACAGAAAGAGAGATTTAAAAAAAACAATTCTATTTACCATTGAACAAAAAAATTAAGATGCCTAGGAATAGCCTCAATTAAGGAGGTAAAAGACCTCTACTCAGAAAACTACAGAACCTTGAAAAAAAAGATAGAGGAAGACATAAATAGATGGAAGTACATACCGTGTTCATGGATTGGTAGAACCAACATCATTAAAATGTCCATACTACCCAAAGAAATTTATAAATTCAGTGCATTGCCCAATAAAATACCAATGGCATATTACACTGACCTAGAACGAACTCTCTAAAAATATATCTGGAATAAATTAAGACCCCAAATAGCTGCAGCAATCCTGAGAAAGAAGAACAAAGTAAGAGGGATCTCAATACCAGATATCAAGCTGTAGCACAAAGCCACTGTTCTCAAAACTGCCTGTTACTGGCACAAGAACAGATATATCGATCAATGGAATAGAATAAGAACCCAGAAATCCACCCAAGCACCATGTTCAATTAATATTTGACAAATAGGCAAGAACATACAATGGAGTCAAGACAGTCTCTTCAATAAATGGTGTTGGGAAAATTGGACAGAAACATGCAAAAAAAATAAAACTAGACCACCAACTTACACCATACACAAAAATAAACTCAAACTGAATAAAGGACTTAAATGTAAGACAGGAAACTATAAAAATACTAGAGGAATCCAAAGGGAACAAAATCTCAGACATATGCCAAGGCAATATCTTTACCAATACAGCTCCTAGGGCAATGGAAACTAAAGAGAAAATAAACAAATGGGACTACATCAAAATAAAAAGCTTCTGCACAGCAAAAGAAACCATCAACAAAACAATAAGAAAGCC